AACATATGTTTTGTAATTGATTTTAAGATGAAATTATGTTTAGATAATTATGTATAATTTATGTAACATCTATATAAAAGACAAGATAACTATTTAGCAAAGGATAATTACTCACGCTAAATTAACAAACGCTGAAAATTCAAGCCAATTATCTTACAAACATTTTTAAAAAATTGTCACTCAGAGGTAGCTTTTTATCATTAAATTGGTTAACAGGCATTTTTTATTAATTTATTGGACATTAATTTTTCGTTCCTTAAAATAATTCGTGACAAAAAATTCTTGAATTCATGAAATTCGTATTTATTAAAAAAAACTTTAATAGGAAATTGAATGGAACAGAATAAACAATACGTTGAAAACATAAAAAAATGAATAATTAAATAAAATAAATATTTTGTGGTTTTCCAATTTACACAAGAAAGGAAAGGCGAAGAAATTATTTGCATCAAAAACAATCAAAGTCAAACAGCAAAAAAATGATTCAATAAACCTGAGAAAAATTAACAATTTTACCGTCCTCTTAATAATAAACAAAAAAATACATATTTTTCAATTCTTAATACTAATCTACTTAATAGCTTGGGCAAAAAGATATTCTAATCATTTATATAGTATGTATACATCAATTTTGAGAAACAAATGGAAATCTCTAAAATGTTTTTCATCAGAAAATCATCGTCAGAAACTTACAATTTATCAACGATTTAAAAAGAAAAGTATATCCAATAATACCAATATTAATTTTTGCGTATAAGATTGCTTTCTACTGTATTTTTTTTTTCGACAAAGAAAATAATTATTTTTATTTTAAACAAATAAATATTTCTATACACATATCTATTTTTTCCTCCTTTAAATACACAAATAGGATGATATGTAGCCATGAAAATCTGTTTTCTGCTTTTATAAGTTATGAATACTTCCATCAGAAATACAGGTTATGAATACTTCCGTCTGTCAACAAATGAAATGTTTCGAAATCCCGATTGGTAAACTCGCCCGCACCAACACGTTATACCAAATTACGCAAATCACTTTAGGCAAAATGAGACAAAAGGAAACTAAGAAGAAAACAAATTTCAATTACAACTAGCATCCGTTAACCATTCACTGTTTGGGAAAACATTTAAATAACTCTAATTTATGGTTTGTTTAACTTTTACAGTATTTAATATGCGCTTTCCGCTTTGAACTTTTATTAAAATCGCAGAACATTATTTTAAACAAGACCTTTAAATCTGAAGGAAAACAACCGTATGGTTGCTTTAATCAGAACATCTTTGATAAAATAATCCACCAAACTGAAGGTAAGAAAATCAAAGTGGATTCCTGCGGGACATCTTAATTCATAAAAATACCCCTGAGGAATATTAGCTTTAAATTACGCGGGTCCTCACTTCTTTCATTAAACGTGAATGACATATGACATCTAAAAGATATTAACTCGCAGTCTGTCGGATCCTCTGGCTAAAGATTACGCAAAACTCTGGAGATCATAAATAACCCGTATTATCTAATTAAGGGAAGACATTCTTATTTTTTTACTTTGAAGAAAATGTCTTAAATATCTAGCTTTAACAACCTAGTTGAATTTGATTCAGAATTTTAGCGATGAAGTGGAGGTTAAATTTGATAACTGGGTTCAATTTTAATTGGCATTTGAAATTTTAGAGCTAATCTGCATTGTATTCAATTTTATTGTTCTAATATTTTATTTTAGGTATTGAAAAGTAAATGTGTTGAATTTACTTTTTTGTTAAATAATGTTTCGTGCATATTTTAATAAATTGATTTTTTTAGGATATTACCATATAATTATGACGAGATACCACTTATTATTAACCTAATTACTAATTACATTTAATTAAATAAAAACTTCTTATTAATGTTTTCAAATACTAAGTATTTTCCTATTCTTGACAGTTGACTTCTAGTCATGTTTTACTTACAAGTAAAATTTGAGAAAGCACTGTAAAATATTCCAGATCAAATTACGGAAAAAAGAAGTGCTAGTGAGTGCTAGCACTTCTTACCGTAGAATCAATTTTTACCGGTGTATGTTGCGGAACGTAAAATCTCGTATACCTTAATTTTTACAATAATAATTACCGTAAAATCACTGAATCACTCGAATAAAATAAATATTACTCTAGAAATTATTTAATAAAATTTATGGTATAATATACAGTCCTTCACAATGATAGCTTAACTTTTCTCAGCCGTGAACAATGTGTTTCGTTTCCTTTTCGTCTCGGAGCTATAATATTTTTTCTGAAATGGCAAAATACTGAGAACAGTTATTGTGCAACTGTTTTGATTTGAGTATCTCACTATGATCCCGAAGGTCCTCGGTTCGAATCCTGCCGTCAACCATGGGTAGAAACCTTTCTCAAGGTTTTCTATGCATTTAGCTCAAAAAAAAGAGTATATGCTGTTTCGATTTTAAATACATGGGACTTTAAAATTCGACTATTATTTATTTCGTAGCTATTTTGACAAATTTTTGAGCAAATTTTAGAAACCCCTATTTACATTTTTGAATCAGAAACAAATAAATTATTGTATCTTTTGCAGGATTAAACATAATATTAAGAGAGTACACAAAGACTTTATCATGAGTCTAGATTTGAGAAAGAGCCGAAGATGCTAATGAGCTCGAAATTTCAACTCTAATGCAAGTCTTTTAAACAATTCAATGTTCTTTAGGTACATTTAGTTTAAATTAAATTCTGAGAGCTATCTTTTACTAATTTCCATTAAAAACTTGATTATGAATATTCACATCATGTCTTAAAGTACGATATCTACTCATTGTTAATTTCCATATTTAATCGTACTAATCATATTCTATATAAATTTAAATAATTCCATAAAATTATTCAATTTCAAAATATATCAATTCATTAAATTTAATGTTGTTAGTCATAGATTATAATGAAATCAGTTTTTTTCATTAATTAAAATTGGCAGAAACAAATCGGGCATGAAGATTTAGTAAAACGAAGATTTTGATAATGAAATACTAGGCTTCAAATAAAGGAAGCTTATTTTATGGTGACATTTGAAGTATATTTTGATTAAAGATTTTTGTAAACGTCAAAAATAAAATGGCTTGTCAGCACCATATAAATGTTCTCTGATAATGGAAAATTTATACATTACACGAAACAATCCCGATATGCAATTTCTGGCTGCATGCCAAAGCACGTTGAAGAATTAACCATTCATTAATGAATGGATCTTATTATCGACCTGATTTATCCTTGACATTTTTTTATATTATTATTTTACTCCACCTAGAACATGTAATTTAAATTACATTTTTTGAAGCTCGATACAATGTGGAAAATCAATGATGCCGTTACAAAAGTGAAAGGAATATTATTTTTAAAAAAATTAAGAAAAAAAGAAAAATCGAATATTGAGCTATGAAATAGTCTTAGTTCGTATTCCTTTCTATTGATGAGTTTATTAACTCATCTAGTTTATACTAGTACATCATTTTAAAAAACTCTGTTATGTGTATTGATGATCAGTAAGGAACCGAATAACAATAATTACCTACCTTTTTAAAATCAAACTATGTGAAGAGGTTTTAAAATGAGATTCTAAAAAAAGTATTTATGAGCTCAAAAAATATGTTTATTCGTTTGCAAAGGAAGCCAAAAAAGGAATTTAAACTTGAAAAAAGAATTTAAACTTTTGATTTTGAAAAAAAAAAAAAATTTGTTTTTCTACTTTTTATAAAATGGTTTTTCCATTATAATGATATTGAACGAACGAACATTGAACGAACATTGAAACGAACATTGAAAATAAGAAATAAAAATGCTAAAAAAACTCTGACGAATTCAGACGAGATGAGTGTAGATGAAAGATCCGATAAAGATTGTTTAACTCCAAAGCAGTCTTCAAAAAGATGAGTTCACCTCACTCTTATGCAACCAGTAGAGCTGATTTTCGCACTATTTTTCTTTTATAGAGCATATAACGGTCCATCAGGGTTGTAAATTATGTTATAAAACCGGCTTTTATTCTAATGAAACCCATTTTAACCTTTACACCGGTGATTTGCAATAGTGCAACAGAATGAAAAGTCTTATAATAAAAGTCATACCTTCAGCACTGACGGCATTAATTGGATTTTTACCAGAAAAAATTCTTTTCATTGTGGAAATTGCGTTTCAATAAATTGATAGCCAGTGCAGCAAAGTGGTTATCATACTACTTCACTTACAGTAAGAAATAAATAAAACATCCCCTGCTTTATATGTATTTACACGTACATGTTACTGTAAATTACCGAAATTGGTGGTGACTTCTACCGGTGAATGTTGACAATCACATAGTCGCATATCCGAAATATGTAATAGGTCTAGTTAAGTGCCACTGCTCGGCATATATTTGCCCGGTATTCCCTACATCAATGTGTTTTAAGGTCAAGTGCCATAGCCCAGTATGCATTTAACCGGTACTCCGAACACTGATGTTTCTCCTAATCTATCTTTAGCATATATTAAAATATCAAATTAATCTAATAACATTAACGAATAAATTAATATTAAATCGGATGTTACAAATATTTCGGACGTTCACCAAAGCGTTCATGTGATTGTTGACATTCACCGGTGAAAGTCGATATTCTATTGATTTTAGTCATTCATGGTGACGTAAATGCTTATATACCCCTTAAATTACAATATCCCCCTTGCGCACTCTGGTTATCCCTCGTATTCTATAAAAGGTTTTGGATATGATGTTTATAGTGATAGGTTTTTCAGCTGAAAGTTTCCACTCAATCCTTAAAGAAATTATTTATTACAACGGAAAATTGAATGGCATTGTCTGAATGTCTTTTTTTTTATTTTTCACTTCTGCGTTTAGCCTTATTTATAGAAAAAAAATGCTTATACAAGGAACGTAAGATACAAATTTATAAAATAAATAATAGATATTTAGATGTTAATTTAATTAGGTTGAATGTATGAACTGCTTACAGTAAGGCTCAGCCTGGTTAAGCTTAGTCTTGAACCCGGCCTCATTTTCTTCGATACTGCAGTCAATGTAATCTCGTCCCATTTTATTTTCCACGACATCGAAGCCAGCTGTGCTTCTCTTCTGTAGTACCTAGAGAAATTGTCAAAATAAAACGTTTCATTCACAAATATAGAAAACCAATTAAAGTTTACACAGCATGCATAAAAATTTTACAATATTTGTTTATGTTGCCTCAATTGTTGCTAAAAGTTAAAGCTGGTTTTTGAAATGATCACAATTAATGTAAGAAATAAAGTTTTTAACTTAAGTTTAATTCCTAACTTCAATTATCAAATTATCACGTAAATTCAAGTATGCGGATGGTGTAGTTCAGCATGTTATTATGTTCAAGTGACATACGTTTTTTTCACTAAAATCACAATTTCACTGACTCAGAAAATTTAAGTTTAAGTGAAGTTTTATAATTAATAAAGTAAATTAAGTGTATAAATATAACTTAAATGAAAATAATTTCACAAAACGTAAATAGGAAAATGCCTTTTGCGTAAAATCGGCACAACAAAAAATCAAAACTCATTGTTTTTGCTTCATCTTTTATGTAATAGCCACATACTGTAATGAACTAAAAGAGCAGGAATTGCTTTTTTTTCAAATAATTTTACCTAAGATATATTAATAGAAGATAGTAAAGAAATAGAAAAAAAGCCACCCATAAATCAATGAAATATAATTTTGGAAAATAATATTATCGATGTGCTTGCTAAAATCTATTCCGGTAATGAACACATCATTAACTACAAGGCCAAAAATAAAATTCCTTCTTTCTAGTTATATTTAGTTGTTTGATTTGATTGCAAAATAGACTATAACTTGATGCCAAAAACATACATCTAATAACTTTTAATAATTTTTTTCGTTCAGAAAATTGATTGAGTACACGTTTTACGTTCGTGATTCCTTACAGAAGTCATTATCATTGGGAAAACTTAAGTGTTTTGAAAAATAATATTTTTTGTTTAACTAAATAAAGTTAATTTGTTTTAATAGGTCTATCTACAAAAATATTTATCAAAATAAATTTTAAATTCTATAATTATCTAGTATATTTAAATTCTATGCTATATTATTAATAAAGACAAATAAATTAAAAAATGAGAACAATTTTATTTATGTAATTTACGAGTTACTTTTTCCTTGAGACATGACTCGAGTGTGAGGCATGTTACTGGATCAAGTATTGATCTCTATTAACTCTTTCAAAATTGCGAAAATTGCGAAATCCCTTGATTACGATACTCTGCACATTACGAAGTTTTATAAATACTAATTATTGAATTTTGGAGAAAAAAAAAGAATTATTTTACAGGAAAATAAAAATATTTGCTTCATTCTTTTTTCTTCATATTTTTCTTTTGCCCTTGATTAAATTGATTGAAGGCGGTATTCGCTTCCTTCACGGAAATACAAATTAAATTTGCAACTGTTAATTAAGAAATTGTGCTACTGGTCAGTGGCAACAACAAAAAAAATAAGGTCTGAACTACCAGAATATGGTTAAATCTGGTTTCTGGTTCTATGGAAGCACCAAAAAGCTTCGTAATATTTAACGGAAAGTTTTGCTTAAATTAATCATGAAACATAGTGTTTATCATAAAAATTAACATGGCATAAAATCAATTTATTAGGCTAAATTTGCACTTCAGTTTTGAATTTGTTTTCTAAATGTTTGTTTAAAAGGACTTTAATTTTAAGAATCAGAATTTTCGGTAAACCGTTACCATATAAACTGAAAAATTACTAAATAAATGGTGTATAACTACCGTATAAGTTGGTTTTATTACTAGAATTTTTTTTCAACCAGAAATGTAATTATTATGCAGTAAGTTAATTTTACCATAATTTCGCTCTCCGTATAGTTGTATCATTTTTAACAGTGGCAACTTAAAGAAATTGAAAATTTTAAACAATTTAAAAATTTTTTGTTATTTATAACGTTGGGCCATAATAATTCCATATTTATGAAAAAAATAATAATAAAATGCAAATTTTCTTCAAAAAAAAGTGGCTTTCGTGCGGCTGTTGGCAGACAATTTTTTAATTGATACTATTTTATAGTTTGACGCCATATAGACTGTAGCAACCGTTAATTTTGCCCCATAACTGCTAACTATGTAAATATGATTTTTCGAAGCAATATTTATATTAAGCATTACACGTGAAACATGCTTATACTGAACAGACTAGTGTGATGCATGAAATGTTTCACGAAAAATCTTCCAATAATCAAAAGTAGGAAGGTAATACTTTTTTTAACATTTATTTTGAAAGCAATGCAGTTTAATAAATTATAACTTTTTTGCTTTTCAAAACGCAACATAAGACTAAGGATAATCATTTTTTGACAAGGTGTGACATTTCTATTAGAATTACCCTAACATCATAAATGAAATTGCAAATTTAAAGAAAAAAAGGAATCATATTATTTCTGAGTATATCTACTAAAAAGTTAACAAAGAATCTATTATATATGCGATTACAATAACTCTGAAAATAATTATAGTGAATTGTCATATCTCTGGATATATTTCAGTGGATTGCCCGACATTTGATTATATTCACAGTCTTATTTCTGACAATATTTACAGTATATTGCTATATCTCGGAATATATTTACAATGTACTCTGCTATCTCTAAATAAATTTACAGTGGATTGTTCTTTGAATATACCGTTTACTGTGTCAGGAATTAGCTTTGTCGAAATAGGACATCTTTACCGGAATTACTTTAACTTCATAAATTAAATAGCAGACACAAAGGAAAAGAAATGAATCATCTTATTTCTGAGTATATTTACTACAAAGTTATCAAAGAATGTATTTACTGCAGAATTACATTATCTATGAACATATTTATATTGAATTGTCCTACCTCTGAATGAATTCATAGTGGATTGTCCTATATCAATATATATTTCAGTGGATTGTCCAATCTTTGATTATATTCACCATGGGCTGTCCTATCTTTAAACATATTTGGAGTGGATTGTCATATTTCGGAATACTTTATCAATAGTTTGTCTTAACTCTGAATATATTTACAGTGGATTGATTGTTCTTTGAATATATCGTTTGATAAATGGAATCTATCATTGTTTTTTTTTCCAGATAAGTAAGCAATATTAAATTTCTTATGGAAAATGATAAACCAAGCATTAATATTCGAGGGTTAATTTAGATACCAGTCAAATAAGCTTCTACGAGAAAAATACACACAATCACTTTATAAAGAAAAAAAGTCAATCTCAGAACGTTTACTCAAAACATTTCTTTTTCATTAAGTGCATTTTGAAATCCATCAAAAAGTAACCACGTATTTATTCTTCAGAAAAATAAAATCAGTAAACGAAAATAAAGCAGAATGTGAGTGAAAACTAAAGTTTCGGAAAAGTAAAATCTCCATTTTCGAAGCAAGTTTCCGCAGACAATAGGAAAAGAATTACTTTTTTGAAATAAAAAAAAGAGAGCTTTTAAATTTCTTTCAAAACCCAAGAAAGAAATTTTTTCGAGGAATTTTTTAAAAAATTTATTTTACTTTTTCACAAGCTAAGGAAAACAAGAATTCTTTAGTTCATGCTTATACGGTTATATCAGTTTAAGGAATTTTAATTAACTCGAAAAAGGGAAAAAGAAACATTAAATCCTATTAAACGGATTAGTAGAAATTTGAAAAATGAAATATTTTGAAGTTGTTTTTTAAAGGATTATATTGACACTGATCGAAAATTAAAAAGAATTTTTAACTCTAAATGAACATACATATTTAACTCTAAAAATCTGGAATACATATTTAACTCTAAATGAATTAAAACCACAACGCTTTGCTCTAAATTCGTAAGCAGTTTTGGGACTGTGTTCAGAAGAAAACTATAAGTAATTAAATATACCATTTAAAAGCTATGTATCTAAAATCAAAATAAATAAAAAAAACTTTTTTTCATCTTGTTTCTTTAATTGCATTCTTGTCATCTTTTTACTCTCTTTCGCAGTTATGTTACCGGCAAAAGCCATTTCTTTCAATTCTAAAACTATTTTCTGCCTGCGGTAAAACAGTCTTAAATATCATATTTTTAAGCATTCTGTGTTTGCGATAATTAAAACCACGTCGCTTACTTGTTTTAGAACAGCTTTTTAAGTATTTCGAGGCAACGGCAATTAACTTAACCATCAAAACATTTGTTTTAGAGTTAAATAAACTTGAAATTCTGCATCTCAATAAATTTATGAAGCAAACATTTCTTTTTTATTCATTATTTTTGTTATTTTTAATGATAGTTTAACTAGCATCTATTTAACACTACAGCTGTATTTTGTTTTATTATGTTTTTCAGATACATGTGATTGCACTCTCAAAAATAAAATTCTCACTTTTGAAGATTTCGCAATCTTCGGATCTGTATTTTGTTAATTTGAGAATTATTTCGTTACGAAATCATGTTATTTGTGACAAAACGTGAACTATCAAATAAATGACGAAAGTGTTTCCTCAAATCGGAATCGCAGTTAATTGGGGAAATTGTTAACTAGAATGAAGACTGAATGCCCGATCAAGAATAAAGGGACGAAACAAAGTAACCAAGCTGTATGGTAGTTTAACAGTTGATCTGAAACTAGGAAGACCACTTGCTTGAATTTTGCTTCGAGAACCGTAGTGGTTCAGGGGATAAAACGCTCACCTTCCACTGAACCGAGTTCGAATACCAGATATGGCTGGTCGATAGGTATCTACACCCTGCTCGCACCGTCCACAGTGCTGTTTTAAAATATCCTCAGTAGTAGTAGGATCATGGGTTAGAGTCCTTTAGTCGCCAGGCAAACCGTGGGAGGTTTTCGTTGTTTTCCACTCCATGTAACGCAAATGTGGGTTAGTTTCATCAAAAAGTCCACCGCGAAGGCAAAGCTACGGAGTTGAATATTGGTAATCTTTAACTCAAAAATTGGGTTGGCTGTTCAACAACGGTCATGTAATATATTAAAATTTCGCTACAACCACGTGTGTAATTTATCTCACTATGTAATTTATCTCACTATGTACACGTGTGTAATTTATGTTTTAGATGCCATTGATCCATCTCTATGATACACATCATAAAGTAATTATTATTATTATTATTTTGTAAAAAAGTAGAATGACGAAATATTTGTTTAATTTTGAGGAAATTCGTTTCCTCGGAGAAAGGACGATATTTATTTCAAAATTTTTGCTCAGAGCATATACCAGGGAATGATTTCGCTAAAGACGGAGAAAGTTTCGTGAAATTTGAGCATTCATTTTTTACAGTGAGCGCTTAAACTCTTATATCATCAGTTTATTTAAGACGACAAGGGACTTTCAAATGAACGAAAATTCGAAAATTTACTGTAAATTTTCTACTTTTTATGTTATTGAAATCTAAGTATTTAGTTGAACATTTTAAAACAAAAAGTTTTTGACTTGGAGAAAAATTGACGAAGGAAGGTTTAACTACGCACCTTTGTTTACATTTTCTTGTCTGCAGCTGCTGTATACCCAAACGCGTTTTTGCTTGTTTTAGAAAGTTGTGTTTATTATTTTTAAGTTTTAAAGCATCTAATTATTTAACCAGTTCATAAGATCATATTAATAGTAATTTATGTTTAAAAAAAGGAAATATTTGTTCTAAAGTAGAATTTGCTATAAATAACTAGAAAAAGCCATTTTTCTCAAAATTTCCCTTTAGACAAATTTTCGAATTTCAAATTGTTCATGCGAAAGGAATTTTTTTTCTATTGAGCTAAAAATTCGATACTATATACTTCTGTACATCATTAGCATTTTGATGGAAAAGTTTTCTTTAATTAAGTAAGTAGTATTAAATTTATTTGATCTTTTATTACGATCTTATAATTTTTTTTCCGAAAATGCTCGTTCTTGACTGTTTTTTCACTGTTATTTGTTTCATTAGTAAAAAATAGTAGAAGTATTCCCAACATTTTTTATATCACCTAATATATAATTTTTTGAAAGAATTACGTCAAAATTTCAAAAGCGAGGAATAATATTTAAAAAAAGTAATATAAATTCCAAATTTTTAGTTCTTTTATTTTTAAAAATTTTTAAATAATTTTCCTTAAATTTTGTATCTAAGTTGCTTTTAACAATATAAAATTATACTGAAAATTTCAAACCAATCAACTAATAATTTCTAAAAAAATTTTTGAAAGTCCTTTTTATGTTTTTGATGTACCACTTTATCACTACTTCGGACCTCCAGGTGTCGGTTTTCAGTTTCTATTTTCACAGCGCGCAAAAGAAGTTAAAAAATTTTACTTAAAACTGAAAGATGTTTTTCTCCTTTCTATTTTAATAAACTTTTTTATTTTTTGCTTTAGCTACCTGGTAAACGTATACAACATTATTCTTTACAACAAACATGTAAACAAAGGCTTTGCACGAAGAGAAAGCAAAATGTAATTAAACAATTTTAGAAATCAATCTCCATTTTCAAAGTCGGGCTAAAAAATGCTGATTGCGAGTAATGTAGGCAGTAATGCACGTTGTATTGTAAATTATATGTAAATTTGCAAGTTTATATTATTATAATTTTGAAGAACACATAAATCTTACATATAATGACAAGTTCTGTAGCATCAATATTATGGCTGAAATTTTAATTATGATTACTCAAAGATTCAACTTACCTAAACAGAGCTAAAGATCCAACTAACAAAAACACAACTACAACAGCCAGGACAACAGTTGTGAGTTGATTGCTATTATCTAATGAAGTGAAACAGTTATTATTACAAAATGTATTATAATTTATTTATGTATTGAATATATCTAATATACTATTCATGGAAATATTGAATACTTTATGTTAAAGAAACTATTATATTCTTATATATTAAATACTAAAAATATATGTTTCTCAGTTATTTCGTGAATTTACAGTTTGAAAAATATAAGCCCTGTGAAATATAAATCTAAAAATCATTAAAAGTTTCTCCATTTGTGAATTATTTATCAGTAATATACAATCTAAGAGTGATAGTTATATATTTATAACAAAATTGTATAATGGCCGAAATGAAAAACTGACCACCCTGAATAATATTTCATCTAATGATTGGATCTTCACGTTCTAGAATTCAATCTTGATGGTTTGAGAGGGTAAGATCAAATATGCCTATTATTTAGTTCAGGTCGACGACATTACGAAGTTAACGACGACATTACGGAATTACGACGAGTTAGGAAATCAAACACATAAACGTAATTTCCATGAATAAACATATAATTTTTTGGTGGATTTGAATTACTGACACCCAAGATATTGGTGGTAGCTTCAATCTCAGAAGTATAGTTCCAATAGTTTGATCAAGAGAGCAGTCCAAAGTTTGGACCCCTTGATCTTAATTTTGCGAAATTTTTTTTTTTTTTTTTGAGTTTTTGACTCAAATTTTAAAAATTAAACTTTTTCAAAATTTGATTTCTCAAGAACTATTTGAGTGATTTCTGTCAAATGTTGTATTTTTCCATTTAAAATTACATTCTTTTAAGCGATGTAAGAAATGTATACATTAAAATTTTTTCGACTGTTGTTAAATAAAATAACAAAAAATAATAAATCTTTACTAAAAGTTGCATTTTGCATAAAATTATTTTTAGATAAATGAATTTTAAAATTGTGGTGAAAACTTTTTTTTAAGTTCACTTAAAAAGTTCTCGAGATATAGTAAATACGCAAAAAGAAAAATTTACATTAAAGGGTTCAAACTTAGAACCAAATTCCTGATCAAACTAATGGTACTATATTTCGCAGATTGCGGCCACTTCCTATATTTTGAGGGTCAGAAATCCAAGAACATCAAAAAAATTATTGTTATACAGAAGTAAGTTCATGTGTCTGATTTCGTAACGGAAAATATTGTCTGCACTCATTAGTTAGCATGCATCTATTTTTACAATTAAGCATTACAAGACAAGAAAAAATTATATACCGTAAATTTTACAGTACTATTAACTGAACCACTGTAATTAAATATTACTTCGAAAATTACGATTGTAAATTTTACGGTAAAATGCATTTTACAGGTGTTGAAGTCAGGTTAAAGGTTGCAAGTGCTACTGTGTAAGTATTTTTTACTGCAATTCGATCCTGGATGTCTTACAGTTTGAAAAGATAATCTATACGTTATAATCTATATAATCTGTAAAAAAATTAATCTTATATGTACTTCAGCAATATAATGGTACACAAGTTTGTATACCCTACTGTTTTTTTCAGAACTTTTTAACAAAACAAAGTCGAACAAAAATTTTTTTAAATATTTTAAAATTCTTACATTATAGAAATCAAAAATGGTTAATCAAGCTAATTTTATGGAAACTGAAATACATAATTCTAATAATAACCTTTTGATAATAAGAGAGCTGAAAATTAGTACTCTTTCCAAAATTATACATGCTATTGTGCGTATTTGCTAATAGAAACATTTTCTTTTATTAATAATTAAAAAGCATTGAAAACCAATTTCTTTCTATGAAAAGACTACACACCCTAATTATAAATGTGAATTCAAGTGAAAAGCAATTTTCTTCAGGATATTTTTGCTCTTATATAAATTGCTTTCGTATCATGTCATATTATATATCGCTAAGTTAATTATATCAGATGGAGTTTGAATTATTAACTTCTGAAGTTTGGGACGGCAATAATAAGCCCATAATTCAGAGAGTCGAGAATTATTTAAATAGGTTCTGTCATTTTGAATTTATACAATCCTTTGCCAACCCAATTACCGCCTAAGAAGGTTCTCAATTACAAATCGGAATAAAGGTTTTCCTGGAACTCTCATCTGTCGCGTCTGGAATATTTTAACATTTTTACGAGCTCTTAGATTTTATCACTTGAATAAATATTAAAAATTCAGTATGCTAATTTTAGATTTTTGATGAATTAAAAATTACCTCTTTTGGGACATTTCGAGTTATCAAAGCCACAGGGTGGATTGTCAAGAGGGGGATTTTTTCTTCCTCCTGCCCAGTGGATGGTTTTTCCCGGCTCATCAACCACTTGCTTCTCAGTTCCAATGTAATTGGCTACAACCTATAGGTTTTTTTAAAAACAAAAATAAGTGTTTTCGTTTTATTCTAATCTTAAAGTTCATCAAATAAATAATTATGCAAACATGAAGGAGAAAAGGAAATAGAGAGGAAATGTTTTACGAATCTATCCAAAAATCATATTTAAGTTGTCTCACTGGTTACGATACATTTCTAAAGAGGCTCAATTGAAATTAAAATATTATTTTGGTAATTAGGGGTCCTAAAATTATTTTATTTAAAGTAATGTTTAAATTTCTATTTTATATTTTTAATCTAAAAGCATATTTAAGTTTAAAAACTGCAAATTTTCAATGTCATACTAACAGCTCTACAACAAATTGTAATGAATAAATTTCTAAATAAATTTTACTTAGATCAAAAATGTGACTACCTGTGTTTATAAAAAAAATCCTTAACATAATTTCCAAAAAAAAAAGGAATCAAAATGGCACTAAATATATTGTTAATTATCAAATTTTTAAAGAAAAATTATAAATATTCATACTTAAAGTTTAATAAAAATAACAAATTCAAACATTTTCAATTCAGCTTTTACTTGTGTTAACATTATAACATTCTTATTTTATTCAGCTTTTATTACAGTATTAGCATTATAACAAAATTTATATTCAAAATTTCCAAGAATTCTATTAAAAACTTTCTTCTTGTAATAAGTGTTAGCGTAAAGAAATTTTCTTACAATCAAAGTACTTCGGAAAATGCATTTTAAATACAAGAAAAGTCTGAAATGTAAGAAAATTCTGAATTCTTCGATTACTAATATTTCTATGTTATCGGAATTCAACCATTCCGATACATTAATATAATCTTTACCACGTGCAGCATTTTTTTCCTTACGTTCATTCTGGTTTATTAGAGAAATTACGAAGTTGCTTAGTTTTGTCATAATATTTTTTCTTTCTGCTTTTTTAAAAAAAAATTGTTTTTCTCACACTACCCCCCCNCCCCCCTACACGGAAATAGTGGAGACGAAGTTGATAACTTTCTAAGAAGTCATTAGTTATAACTCAAAAATGAAATCTATTAACTAAGAATGAAATTGATTTGAATCTACGCCTTATCTAAGAATGAGTATTGACATATATGAATTACAATATTAATTTGTAAAAGAACATTTCACTTTAATAAGAAAAAAAAATTTAACACAAATTACTACATTTGAAAACCTTTATTCAATTTGACTTAATTTGATAAATACATTTAAATTTATTTTTTATTTATCGAAAAATTCGTTATGTAGACTTTAAATGAGTAATGCGATGCATTCCAAGTAGTTACTGGCAATGGACCAGCACACACTTGTAAGAAGAAAAAGTTATTGACGAAACTATTTCTTCCCTTGAGCTTTGAGAAATGACGCTTTCTGTCCAGAACAATGTTCATATTTTGTTCTACTTGAACATTGTAATCTCCAAATTTAGAGCCGTGGTGGCTTCGTGACTGGAGAGTTCGTCTTCCAATGAGTGAACCGGGTTCGAATCCCAGCGATGGCTTGTTGATACGAATTCCACACTATCTTCGCACTGACCATAGTGCTGACATAAAATATCTTCAGTAATAGACGGATCATGTGTTAGAGTTCCCTTGCCATCAGATTAACCATAGGAGGCTTGCGGTTTTCGTGGCTTTCCTCTCTATGTAACACGAAGACTGGTAAATTCCATGAAAAAGTCACCTACAAAGGCAAATTTCTACCAATACTTAATCCAGGAGTTCCCTTGTCTTCTTATGGATTGGGTTCAAAATTACAAGACTACGGATTTGAAGATTGGTAGTCGTATACTCTAAATTGGGTCGGCTGTTCAACGACAGTTATAAAATCTAAAATAATGTCTCAAAATCTAAAGCAACTTCCATTCTACCATTATAAAGCAGAACACCGACTTTTTGAAAAACCTAACTATACTCTGTTGCAAGTTAAGAAAAAACCATTATCTCTATGAAGAAAAACTGTTAGCATCTAAGTGCTCGCTAAATGGATGCCAAGCACTAAGTGAAAATGAATATCAACATCGCCAACTCTTGAAATGACGTAGCAGTTAAGTCTTTTGCTTGCTTATAAAAAATATCGCGAATTTTATTTCTCTCAGACGAGTTTAATTTTTAAAAGCTTTTATATTGTTTTGAAAGACCAATTATAAAAACAAAACGAAACTATATGCAGTTGCGGATGATTGCTTAAATCTTTTACCGTAATGGTCTTAACTAACAACGCAGTATAACACAAAGTCGTTCTTGAAATTCTGATTCATTTTTTGAATCAAAACTAGCAAAAGTTTTTTTTTTCTAAAACTTTTTTTCCTCTAAGGTTTTGGATTAATGTTTTGAATCTCTTTTTCAATAAGAATCACTATTTATCAAGTTATATCATTCTACAGAATCATTCTAATTTAGAATATAAATAACATCAAATGTGTTAAATTTGTAAATAATTCATATTTCTTTCATTGGAAGTTAAATGGGGCCACTGTGGCCATGATCACACTAGTCCAACGCTATGAGTCTGTACTAGACCCAAAATACATTTGTTTCTTTATGCCTACAATGCAATAAGAGAAACTAGGAAACAGTATAGTTCATTGCATATTAACACTTTCTGTTGTAATTCCGAAAATAAAATATGTTGATAATAGAATGAAGAGAAAATCTTTAAGTTACTTTTTATATCCTAAAAAACCTTCTGCAAATTTCAACTAAAACATTAACAGAGTAATTATGCAACAGCACATATTGTTGCATCAGTGTTGCAAATCGACGATATCTCACAGAGGAAGTTTGACCAATAAGCAATAAAGTTATTTAAGATTTCCACTCCAACGCCATGATCACACTGGCACTCTCTGCCCTATGCAAATCAAAAACTTCAATGAATATATTGAGGCCGGTATTTTGCTTTCAAGAAGCTTTATTGAACACACAGTGCGTTAAGCGATTAAACAGTGCAAAAACGATTAAAAGGAAGAGTACATATTAGGAGTAGCAAATTAATATTCAGGAGAAGAAAAAAAAAATTAAAATCTGACAATTCAGAATTGAGGAAGGTGGGAGAACGAAAACTCTTTTTGATTAACAGATGAAGGTTAAAGGTAATTATAAGAATGCATTTTTTTTTAATTCTTTATATTTCTTACGGTGAAAAAACAGGTTTTTGTGTTTTGTACCCACACCATCTTTAATAGCTATTTCCCAGTATTCGAAAGCATTTTATTCCCTTAATTTAATATTACTGTCGTCCTCCGATCTGCGTACTTCTTTCACTTCAATTTTCAAAGGGATTTAAAAAATATATTTATTAAAATAATATTATCGTTATTACCACCACTAAAACAATAAAATTTAAAAGTATTGATGCCTTAAAGACGGAAATAGAAGAACACTCTGTATTTTCATTAAGAAATATAGGGTTTCAGAAACAATTTTTTATATAATTAACGGTCAAAAGTTAAAAAATAGTTTTGACAGGGGCGAAAAATTCGATGCCAATTTTTTATGTAAATTAAAAGAAGCGTAAAAATTTGTTCCATGGATGCAAGATCAAAAGGAGGGGAAAAAATGCAGAAAAATGTAATAGTTTTGAATTTTGAAAAAATAAATGCTTTGAATAAGCTTTGACCTGGTATTTAGATTCTCAAGTAATAGTATGCAATATTCATAATTTATAGTGTTGACTAAGTTATGTAACTCATTAGTGCGGTGATAATTTAAGAGGGCGCCATATCACGGAAGAAAATGTTCGTCGCAAATTCTCTTTCTTCTTCATTATTAATTTAAAATTTAAAAGAAAGAAAAAAAAAGTTCAGGAAAAAACCTAAAGTAAGTCATGAAGTTAAATCTCCGAAAAAAAAATACTTCAAAATGCAAACAAGTCATTAGAGGAGAATTTTCGCGTTGCGTAATCTTAAGTTATCATATCATAATTTATTTTCATTTGTATATTTTAAATTTTTCTTTTCACTATTTGAAACTTCTTACTCTGTCTGAACTTACTTTTTCTACACTTTAAATTATAAATTAGTAATGAAGCAGAGAGAGAATTTGTGATGAAAATTTTGTTCCACGTTATGACGTCCTCTTAAGCCACGAAATCAGAGAAAAATATACGGTCTCTGAAAAATTACAATTTCTCTTTGAAAGATTTGGAACTCGTATGAAGGTAGCAGCTGGTGTAAAATATTGACATATGAGTGTGTTATCCAGAAGATGTATCAAAAATGTTCATTTCCTATATCTCTGGATCTAATATCGAGAATTTTACATGATAGATTTTTTACCACATTTTCATTTTGTTACGTGAATAAAGTTAACAGATAATTAGCTTTTTACCAAATATAAAGTTACACATATGTGAGCATAAAAAACTTCACCCGTGCTAAATTTTTCACTACTGTTCAACATCACGTTCAACTAATCCGATTTCCAGGATCCAGCAACAGATAAAAGTTTCTTTTCTGAACTTGAAGAATATGTATCACAGAATCAGTTAAAAAATTATTATGTTAGGAAGACATTAATTATGTACAAACCTCAAATACTCCCGTCAACGGATTCATGTCAAGAATTGAATAATCAGCATCTCTGTCTCCATTTTCATCAATAGTCACTTTACCAGTGATACCTGATAAACAAAATTCAACGGTAGTATTAGCATTGAATAAAATTAAATAGTTATTAAAGTGTGTAATTTATTAATTTTCTAGTTAGATAAAGTTCACATTTAGCACAGTGAAAAAATAGAACAAAAAGCGCATTTCTAGCATTGTAATTTGAGATACAGGAGTCTCCTCCCACGAAACTTCTTCCTTCCTATAAACTATATTCACACTGCTCAAACGTGAAGTAATTACTGGCTGGTTTGAAATTGCGCAGTTTAAAGCGGGATGAATAGCTTAATCGGGAAAAGAACAGTGATAAGAAAATTTTTTTTAAAGTTATTAAAGTATGTAATTTATTAATACTTGTAGCATTAGTTCGATAAAATTCAGATCTAGCATAGTGTAAAAATACAACAAATAGCGCATTTCTAGCATTGTAATTTGAGATACAGGAGTCTCTTCCCAGGAAACTTCCTCCTTCCTTTAAATTATATTCACACTGTTCAAGCGTGAAGTAGTTACTGGCCGATTTAAAATTGGGCAGTTTAAAGCGGGATGAAGAACTTAATCGGGGGAAGAACAGTGATAAGAAAAAAATAGAAATAAAAAGTTATTAAAGTATGTAATTTATTAATTTTCTAGTTAGATAAAGTTCACATTTAGCATAGTGTAAAAATAGAACAAATAGCGCATTTCTAGCATTGTAATTTGAGATACAGGAGCCTCCTCCCAGGAAATTTCCTCCTTCCTATAAACTATATTCACACTGTTCAAGCGTGAAGAAGTTTCTGGCCGATTCAAAATTGGGCAGTTTAAGGCGGGATGAAGAACTTAATCGGGGGAAGAACATTGATAAGAAAGGAAAAAAAAAAAACTTTCAAATGAAGCATTCTTACTTCAACAACGAAAAATACTTTTATTTACAAATTTTGATCCAAATTTATGAATTCTTCATTGATAATCCAAAAATCTAACGAAGCACATTATCTAATTCTGATATTCCTTTCTTGATAATTTACATGGCGATAGAATGTTTCATTTTTAAAATTTCTGCATTTTTTTACCGTCAATTTTTATATTAAAAATTTGTTTTCACGTGGAGTAAGCAGGGAATACTTAAAAGGGTAATATAGCAACATTGGAGCAATATTGTTATTATTAAACACTGCAACTAAAATCACATAAGAGTCAAGAGGAGCTACTATAACATTTCTTTTCTGCTTTTGCACTTTTTCACACTGAAACCAAATTATTTGAAGCTTAAAAAGTGATAAATTTGAAAGAATACCAAATGAAATTTAGGAAATCCATCGCTTTTAAAAAAAAATCTTTCTCAAGAACATTTTCTACTAAGTCGTACCCTATATAATATTTTCCCAATTTCTTTTGAAGCTTAAATCAATAAATTAGATTTAATAGTAACTAATATCTATGATGTAAATGAATTTTTCTCATCTTAAAGGAACAAGCAGTAACTAAATTTTTCACCAACTTGAGTCAAAAAATTTCGTGTAAATTTTTCTTGGATTATCCTGTAATGAAAAAATATAGACGTTGTTGGGGATTAGTAAAATTGGTAGAATTGTTCTAACCCCCAATCTAGAAGGATATTTATCTTATTATTATTACTCGAAGAATTTGTTGTTGGTAAGAAATAGTACTTTGAAGATTGATAAAGTTTAGTAATTGTTGAAGACAATACTTATTACCCAAATTGTCCATATTTACTTCTCAAAATGAAGTAAATAAGCAAATGCCTTCAAAATCGTTAACAGTTTTAATGAAAAGACGTATTAAATTAATAATGTCTCGTTATGTTTTATTTTTGCTGGTACGTAGATCAAACATAGAAAAAAAAATTTTTTTTGATTTTAAGTGCTCACATAATTATTTCTAAATATTAAATTTTGAAAATAGCTCGAAGAGTGTGTTTGCAAAGCTAAAGCCCAACAAGACACCTTTTATCAATTTTATTAATAATCAATCTATTCAATTCTAATTATATTAATTTAGTTTTAATAAGTATTATCTATTTTAATTGTTTATTTTTATTTAAGAAAAAAAAAATTTTCTGTGGTCGTATTTATAGTTACTTAAACATCATCTTTCTTAGCTTTAATACGCTAATTTAAGTATTTAGAAATAAAGCAATTGAAATATTTAGAACAAACCTTCCCTTAATTAAAACGACTGTTGCACTGCTATTTACTTCACTGTTTAATACTTTTCTTTTTACAGTTATTTTATATTTTAATTATTTATTTAAACTTAACAAAACGGAAATTTTTCTGGGTTACTTTATAGTTATCTAAATATATTCTAGATGGCGCCATGTCGATTCAGAAATAATTTGAAATACCTTGATTATAAAAAATAAATAATGATAACTATTTTATTCATTGATGTTTTTTACTCCTTCATTGATGTTGGTATACTAACTTAGGACAGTTAAAATTAGGATTTCAAAAAATGGCGAATGATAGTAAAAATATTTTTTGCAATGATGCAAGAACATTGTTATAAACAGACATTTTTGTTTCTCTTTTAATGGTCGAGAGATTAACGTACAGCATTTTAAGACTATATTTTTAAATGGACTTACCTTCAAATGTTCGATTCCACATTTTTTGAATAATGAAAGATCCATTTGAAGCAGTATAACCTTCTGACAATGTTTCATTTAATGCAATAGAATACAATAAAACAGCTTCGTGAAATGCTGTAACAAATGTATTTACCTAGAAGAAACAAAATCGCAGTTTTTAATCCAACGCAAAAATAATTTTTATGCTGAAATAACATAAGTGTTACTTTTATTAATTTGAAGTAGAAGATTTAAATTTTAATATTTATTTTTCATTTTTATTATTGCACGTTCGTAATTCGCTGGAGGAAATCAAAATTAATGCTAATGAAAATTAAAATTATTTTTTAAAAAAAGTTGAAAATTAGCATTATACATATTGAAAAACTATTTTTAAATGACAAAAAATACTATTTCGTAAAAAATTAAATTTTGAAATTCAGTGGTTCCATATAAGAATGATAGATGGCAGCACCACGGGATAGTGATAAAATTTTACAAAAAAAGCAAAAAATGAGTATAAAAATAAAAATTGTTTTTAAAATAATAAGGTATTCATAAAAGTTGATGTGGAACTCGCATAAATATGAAAGATGCTACCAATTAAAGGACATTTTCCTTTTCTAAAAATGGTATATTCATACTAAACGATGACTTTTTCAGAACTTTTCAGATGACTGACATTTAGAATTTGACTTCATATAAGTTATACAGTTCTTGGTTGAATTAAAGAATTTTTGTAGGCACTTATAGTATTAAGTAAATGTAACAATGAAAACTCAGATTTAAAAAATAATTTATTGTCATTTAAAAAATCAAAACTATCTATCTAGCATCTATCAAAATTAAGAATGTGATAATACTTGAAAATTTCAAAGGAGCGTTAAAAGAATAAAAAATATTTTTATTTTGCAATCTGAAAACATATTCGTGTGCATTAAATGTTTCGAAACGTACATAAAATTTCTCACTCTGTACTAATGTCAAGATATATACAAATTAAAAAATAAATATTAAAAAAAAATTTATTTAAAAAAAAAATTCACGGTGTTTTTTTTTCTTCCTAAAAAGACGATTAGAAATTTATAGAAGTAAGAAACATGAATTATAATAGAATTTGTCTTTCAATTTTCACTTCTTGTTACTAAAAATATTTATTAAAAAAAACTGAAACATGAAACGAAAGCAGCAACCCACCCGTTTTATATCTTAAATTCAAAAGCCCACATAAATTTGCCTCAATTTTGAGCTCTAATAGGGCTAAAATTAAATTATTACTAGGTTTATCTTATCGAATATCGCGCTAATTTCGTCTATTTTCCTTTTAAAATGCTTTGAAACATGTAGAATTATGATAAAAACTGATATATCATTTCTTATTTTCTGAGTTATAAATGGAAAAATTTAAATATCTACGTGTATGGTGCTTAAAAATGTTTGGAAAAGATAAAGATAGAAATGTTTGTTTTTTTACTGAAAAGATGGGTTCTAGGAACAATAAATTAATGAATAAATAAAAAAAGATGAAGAAAAAAATTAAAAGTTAAGAAAATGTAAGCAACTTTTTTTTATCTGAAGATCGAATTTTTGAGTACTAAGAAGCCTTCTAAACTGTTTAAATGCCCATCATTTAATATACTAAGTGATTTACTGACGATGCACCAAATTTCTAATTCAGACAAACCAAAAAAAAAAACAAAAAAAAACATATTTCCTGTACTTTTTTCCCCGCTTATTTGAGTTATTGATCCTTAAAATATGTGGTGCTTAGTCGAGCTCTGGAAAATATGTCCCGATAGACTTGATGCTATAAAGCTGCATTTGCTTCAAAAATCTGAAGATGTTTTTAAAAATTAACATGTTTCAAGAGCTCAGAAAAAGCCACCCATTAGAAAGATAGACAAAACAAAAGTTATTTAAAATAGAAAACGTAAAGTTGCCAATGGAAATGGAAAATAAAGATAAAAACAAAATTAGAAAAACCGCAGTGGCCGAGAGAGTTTAAACGGGATATAATACATCTCCTCGCGCTGCACTGCACAGTAAAAAATTCCGAATCAAACTACGGAATAAAATACCGGCACTTCAGCATCATCAATCATGTGTTATCATCCATTTTACCATAAAAGTCATTTTCACCGTCAAATATGGGGCCGGGATAACCTGGTTGTTAGGGCAATGGACTTGTGCTCAAATCCAGTCGGCTGAAGACTTCCCGTGTAGTAAATGGCAAATAGAGCACGTTAAATCTGTCAGGTCACAAAGACCTTAATGTTCCAATAACTAATTATACCTCTGGGTAAATATTGATCGTTCTCTTGCTTAGGTTAAAATTTCGATCTGCGGATGGATGTATGAATGGGTTCGCCCTATAAACGGGTGTGACGTATGGGTGTGGCAGAAGTCGAATTCTTGGCCATAGATGGCGCCACCGGAAGACAGACGCACTCCTTGTCTTAATGGCCTACGACAAAAACACAACCGTAAAATATTAGTAATTTTTTTCAGTAATATATATTTAATTAGAGTGATTCAGTTATATTGCAGTTATTATTTCCATAAAAATTACTGTATATCAGATTTCTTGTTCCATATTATGTTCCATAAACATGGATTTTACGCCAAAAATTCACCTCCACCGTAGTGCTGGTACTTTTTACCGTAATTTGATCCGTATTTTTAGACAGTGTAATGAGAGGTGGTGAGGGGCTCATGTCTCTAATAAGGTAATCGACATTCATTCGAATGAAACAAGATTTTAGGGCATTGAAATGAGCTGATGTGTCAATTGGTTGGGAAGACCTCAGTCATTATCGAAATTGAAATGGTGCTCAAGATTCCTGCTTGCGGAAATGGACGAGTTATCGCGTTCTTGAAGACGGACATATCTACCGTATTCCTTAAATCTAAATTTATAAAATATTTTATTTAATAAAATGATTTCCGAATTTTATTGCTACATTGGATTCATGTAGATTAAATATGATGCATAACTTATTTATTTTATTTTATTGCAATCCATTCAGATATACCTACTTTTCTGCAGAGTGGGGTAAAGTAGGTACTGTTTTAAAATTATAATTCTCTTACGTGGCTCCCAAATTTTGGCTGTATTTCTTTTAAGCCGGTGGCAACGTTTGTTTTGTTTTGTTTACATTTTGCAAAGCATTCTGCCTTTTAATGATGTGTTTCTGATCTAATATGTATAATTCTCTTACGTGGCTCCCAAATTTTGGCTGAAGTACTTTGTACAGCTAAATAAGATTCTTTTCACAACACTTAAATAGTTACTTTATTTTCTTCATATACCAGTCGGCAAAGAATTCTCTGTTAGGTAAAAAAACATTTCGCTAAAAAAATAACGAATTCTAAAAGAAATAAAAATAAACAACTTAAAAAATNAGACCTTAATGTTCCAATAACTAATTATACCTCTGGGTAAATATTGATCGTTCTCTTGCTTAGGTTAAATTTTCGATCTGTGGATGGATGTATGAATGGGCTCGCCCTATAAACGGGTGTGACGTATGGGTGTGGCAGAAGTCGAATTATTGGCCATAGATGGCGCCACCGGAAGACAGGTGCACTCCTTGTCTTAATGGCCTACGACAAAAACACAACCGTAAAATATTAGTAGTTTTTTCAGTAATATATATTTTAGAGTGATTCAATTATTTTACAGTTATTATTTCTGTAAAAATTACGGTATATCAGATTTCTTGTTCCATATTATGCTCCCGTAAACATGGATTTTACGCCAAAAATTCATCGTCACCGTAGTGCTGGTACTTTTTAGCGTAATTTTAGACAGTGTATAGAGGAATTTTGAGATGCTCATGTCACTAAAAGGTAATCGACATTCATTCGAATGCAACATGATTCTAGGGCATTGAAACGAGCTGATGCGCCAATTGGATGGAAGGACCTCAGTCATTATCGAAATTGAAATGGTGCTCAAGATTCCTGCGTGCGGCAATGGACGAGTTATCGCGTTCTGGAAAACGGACATATCTACCGTGTTTCTTAAGTCCAACTTTTTAAGATATTTTATGTAATAGAATGTTTTCCGACTTTTATTACTACATTGGATTCATATAGATTAAATATAAAGCATAAATTTTTTATTTTATTTGATTGTAGTGCATTCAGAAGAACATGTTTTGATATGCCTACTTTTCCACAGAGTGGGGTAAAGTAGGTACTGTTTTAAAATTAGTATATATTTAACTGAAAAAACGAATGTAAATAGTGTTTTAAAAATAAAAAATATTCTTAACACTGACAGTTTAGCAAAAGGGCAAAATTTGGAGAATGTGTCTCCTCTATATACGATTTCTCTATCTAATTGCATGAAAATACCGGATTTGCTATGCAGACTCTTAGTTAAAATACAACTTTCCACACGCAGAATCGTCACTGTGTTAAATAAATGTGTCATGCTTATATTTCAGAAGATAAATGCTGAAAATCTACCTTTTTTCGCATTATTAAATCAAAAAGTCAATCTTCATGACTATCAAAATAAGGTTTCACTTCGGAGGCAGTATATTTGTTGAACTCTACTCGACTTCATCAATAAGCAAGTAAGCTGTATCATTATTTGAATTATAAATGAGAATGTTAAAATTAATATATATGATAATTTAAAGTGTTTTTACTATAAGTAGCATATATTTTTATTCAATTTAGGTGTCTCAAGAAATTTTTTTTTTTTTTTTTTTTTTTTTTTTTTTTTTTTTTTTTTTTATGAAAAGACTGCCATATAAAGGCAGAAACGCATCTATATCTTTAAATATGCTCAATAAGTTGTACCGTTATGCTATTTTAGGATTTTATTTAATTGTGTACTATGTCTGTTATATTGCTTTTGCCTATCATTCTTGTTAAAAAATAAAATTTAAAAGAAATTTTTCAGTGTTGAAATTACTGTTAAGAGATAAAATCAAGCAAGTAAATTAATTTTTAGCTATTTAACTATCAAATAGAGCATTAGACACTTTCAAAAGCTAACACAGAATTTAAAAAAAATATGCCTATCATACGACACTTAGTTAAGCTTAACCATATACGCACTTTAACCCACCTCAGAAAGCAATTCATAATAGATGGAAGTTTAAAATTTATATGTAGATCTGTTCTTTAAATGTCCCTCTAGCAGTTCGAGACAAAATTAATAGTTTTTGACAGTTTTTAATGATATTAAAAGAAAGTTCATCAACAGCTTATACTAATATTCCTTGAAAATTGATCATAAACAGATAGTTTTGTAAACATTAATTTTCTTACATTAGTTTCTAAACCTGAAACAAAAATGCTTACCCCAATCCCAGTAAATGCCTCTAAAAATATTAAATAAATTATCTCAACGTAAAAAGAGGAAATAGATGATTTTGTTAACATATACCCACTTTACCACACCTGACCCTACAATTCCTTGAAAAACTAAACTAACACGAATCCCATAATAAAAGCCACCTACTTCTTCTTGTCCGTAATCAAACTGAAAATCTTTCTTTGCAATTTCTTTGACTTCTCTGGAAAAGTTCTTATATTCTTCAGTCTCGGGGATACGGGCGGTTACAGTCAACAATGCTTCATACGCCATCTTAGCTCTATGATTCTGTTCCACTGTATCCTCCTCTTTCCACCACGGTTTCTCACTTTCAACTTTACTGCAAGAAACAAAACAACTTATTGAGAGAGTTTCAAGAGTCAACTAAGAGAAAAAAAATACTACATTTATGACTTTTTCTATTTGTTTAGAGAAAAGATATCAGATCTTACAGTGCACTTTTTCAGAAAGAATTTTAATTTTATATTTCTCAATTTATATTTCTTTTAAGATATAATCTAAATATACTGATAATTTTTTTTAAATTTTTAAATTAATGTAGATACAAATTATTATTTTTTTTTAAAAAAATATTCACTATTTTACGTTTTGAAAAAATTTTTTTCTCTGAGTAAAAATAACAGAAAGAACATAACAGAATAACAGAGAATTTCAGAAAGAATTTTAATTTTATATTTCTCAATTTATATTTTTTCTAAAAGATATGATCGAAATATACTGAAAATTTTTTTAAAAATTTTTAAATTAATTTAGATACAAATTATTATTATTTTTTTTTAAAATACTCACTATTTTATGTTTTAAAACAAATTTTTTCTCTGAAAGTAAAAACAACAGTGGTAAGAGAGTAACTTAGAATAATTGAGCTAGCATGTTGTGCTGTTAAGACTTAATATGAAGCATATACTACTTGCATATTACAGTAAAAAGTACAGCAACTTAAGCTGTCGGTACTTACTGTAACAATTACAGCATAATACAGGGATGGCCAAGCTCCTTGATAGTCGAGCCATTTTTCAAAATTTGAAATTTTTCGAGAGCCGCAATTAAAGACGTATTTAAAAGGTATGAAAAAAGGCATTAAATTTTTTTTCATGAATTATATTTATTGAGAACATATAAGTAAAAGTACAAAATATGTGTATTGAGTTTAAATATTAAAAATTAAACACATTTATTTTACTTCTCTTGATAATTCTTTAAAATTTGGTGAATAATTGGTGTCAGCACTTCTCAGTAATTCTTTGAGATGCTGATTAGTTAATACTGATCGGTTTTTGGATTTCACGAATTTTAAAGTGGAATAATATGATTCACATTAGTACGTTGTTCCGAATATTGAAATAATTCAACAATGAGCCTTTTTTTAATTCAGGATACTTCGATTCTGGTACGAATTTCTAAAATTCAGTAATCGACGTCGACTTTTTTTTTAATTGTAGAGCTTAATCTTCTTACATCTCTATTAATTCTAATTCTCCAGATGCTTTTTGGGTCATAATTATTGGAAATGGAAAACTAACCTTGAATTGAACAACGTTGCACTCAGTCTTTCATATTTGTTCTCAGTTATTTAAAAGCGATTTTGAAACACATACGGAGCGATAATAATTTTTTAAAATATAATAGTCCAAAAATTAAAAGGGAACTTTGGTACATTTATCAAGAGCCACAAATAATCCTTCAAAGAGCAGCATGTGACTCGCGAGTCGCAGGTTAGCCGCCTCTGGTATAATACTTTGCGGTAAAAAGAGATCTTTTATCCGTTAATTTAGCTTTTCGGTGCAAAGTTTTATTTCAATTTGTACCTATTACTGAAAATAATTTTGCATTATTGACTCCAATAACAATAGGCAAATTTAAAAAGTTTCATATACGCATAAGTACCATTTTTGTTCTTCATTAATTTAGCTTCCTAGTACAATTTTTTTATTTCTATTTATACCTATTAATAAAATTATTTAGTTGATTGTAAACCTCATAAAAATATATTAGTTGAAAAATTAATATTCTTAGAACCATTTATGACCTAAATGCCATCTATACTTATTTTTAACATCGTAAGAAAAAGCGAAACTATTATTGAAACCAGTGATGCTAAGTAAATGTGGTATTAAATACTACTGATATTGCAGTAATAAAAACGTACTATAACACAGTAAATGCCTATATAGACAGTTCTCCGAGAAGTCCTCTTACGTCCTCCAAGAACTTTTAAAGCACCCTAATATCACCATATTACACATCTATGAGACTTAATATATAGTCTTTCCTTTTTGTGTTATTTGTTATAAATTCCGCTGCTGCTTAATACCATTAGATTTACCATAACATAAGTTAGAAATTTGCCAAATCAATAAAAAGAGTAACTATATATATATATATATAGTATAATTTAATCTATAATAATCAGAACCTACCACGATTTTCCTACAGCTCATTCGTTAATTTTAATTTTATCTTATTAGTTCTTGTTGAGTTTCCATTATTTAAATTGAAAGAAGCATATTTTAGAAACATAAGTATCAATATAGGAAACATGTGGATTTTATGTATATTTTAAAATACAAATTCTGTGAAGTCATCACCATACTTGACGAAGTTATTACCGTTGATTTTACTTATAATAGCCTACCATGAGAAACCAAAGACAAATAATTCATAAAATTGTGTCATAAAATTTATTTTTGATATATTAGAGCGGCAATCTGGCATGTCGCTCATGTTAGGAAATCTTTATCGATTGCTAAAGAAAATTCTTACTAAGGGTGTAGTGAGTGAATCAGTTGTCGGAAGAAGTGTTAAAGTAGACACTTAGGTTCACTGTGTTTTTGAACGTATGTACACCATATTTGGAATGAAATTGTTAAGAATTTCAAATTTGTATACGGCAAATACAGACACATACATAGAAACATTCTGCTTTATATTTTTTCTGTATTTATATAGATAAAAAGTAGTTTGTACATCAAATTTTATTCGATTCATATAATTTATCAGAAATACAACATATTTTTACATTTTAACATTGATATTGTAGAATTATCAAATTTAAAATGTTTATTGCAATATGTGTTTGCCCGAACACAAACATATTTTCCAAGTCTATAAAGTTTTATTTTGTTATAGTAATTTTAAAGTAAGTTTATTAGTCTATGTTCCATGAAGCATGCATGGAATTACAGACTAATCTCTTAAACCAGAAAGTTGCTTATTAGGCATATAAAATAAACCTTTCAGACTTCATATTTACATTTAATTAAAATAAACAGAGTAAAATTTATAAAATAGCACCCTTCACGCAATCTAGACTTGACTTAATTAAACAAACAGGAAGAATTAAATCTTTGTTTAAAATTACCTAAAACAGTTATCATTCTGAGATCATTTATTCAATTTTATATATTTAATCATCTCATAATTCTTCATGTTAATCTTTTTAAATATTCCCCTATTAACAAATCTAATTAGAATAATAATACCTTGAAGAGACGTCAGGACTTAATTATTATTTTAATCAAACTCGAACAGCTGTAATAATTAGATTAAAGATGGATAACTGTTAGAAAAATGAATATTAACTTCTGTAATGGTACTATTTATCTTAAGTCAAACCATTCTTATAATTTTACTTAGATAATTTAGGCTTTGCATTAATTTAAAACAGCTGCAGGGATAAAGTTTATTCTATAATGTTAGATTAAATCATGAATACTTGCCTTAATTAAGTAAGGAAATGCCGTAAAGTAGTCTGAAGAATTTATTTAATATCATGATAAATTGTTCGAGAAGTATTTGTGGGTTTTGCAAGGAAAAAGGCTACTTTTTTTTATAAAAAAAATAACATTTTATAAAAAGTTAAGCAAGTTTAAAAATTTGTAAAATATTTCGAATGACTGGGTATAGCTGCAATTAATTTTTCATTAAAAATTTTGTATTTTGTCTAAAACCAGTCAAGAAAGATATTTAAATAGATATTCAAATGAATTATACATACCGTAAATACTGAGGTGTAATATCTCTCCGGATTTGATGTTAAACAACCCAAAGATTGTGTAAAGTAATATTTCTTTTCAAGATAGAGCTTTCATATGCCATTAAAAGAGTGTATGAAAGCTCCAAGCACATAAAATGTATAAAGCTTTAGAGCAAGATCACGCGCACTGGCGCCATATATTCAACATTTTGACTTCTAACAACTCCTATGTTCTTGCACTTTTGGTATCTTCTGTAATTGTTTAAAATCAATGGGTAATCTGCAAGTGTCGTAGTGTGGATATCTCGATAATGGTTGGCTGTTGAAACGTGGCATTTGTTTACGTTAGCAACTGTTTTTTCCATTCTATTTCAAGTAAGCTAAGCCCATCAAGTGTCAATTCTCTTAAGTGACACGTTCTATTTTTTTCCTCACTAAGATTTAAATTCTTTCACTGAATATTTCTTATTTAATACAAAGACAGTTCCGAAGTCATTTGAACCTAAACGAACAAGATATGCATCGAATTTGCCATGTACACCGAACGAAAATTTATCACGGTTACAACAAAATACGTCTTTTACTTTACTTAGATTTGATATTTATGTAATTTATTGTAACTATTTTTGTTTTGTGATCCTGACAACTTCGATGTATAAATTAGCTTACGTTATCTACATGTCTTCTTGCCTGTCTGTCTTTGTGTTAAGTAAGAAATATATAGAAAAAAAATTGAAATCTTAGGGAAAGAATCTTTGTGAAAGGATTTCGAATGTATTATTTACGAGAATTGATACTTAACGGGCTTGACGTACTCGAAATAGAATGAAAAGAACAGTTGCTAACTTAAGCAAATACCAACTTTCAACCACCAATCAGGATCGAGATATCCACTCTACGTTACTTGCTGGTATGACAATGTATAAAATAGTTTTATAATATTTGACTTCCATTCACTTCGGTTTTATTCGACTTCCTATTGGTATTCTACTCGTGGTGTGTGTATTTTCGATTAACAAACTAGTTTTATTTTAAGAAATATTGTATGTATGCATCTTAAATTTATGTTTATTGCTTAATCTAAAGCATCGTTGCGTCGTTCATGAATAACAAACATGATGACGGCTATTTTACATCAATTAGCGTGGAAAAACATTCTAGGTGTTTCACTACACTAGGAACTATCCTTGTTTTTGATGTAGTAAAACACCTCTTTGGTGCGAAGTAGTTGTCAGCATTATTGATTTTCAAATAGACGAATTTTTTCCCAGTTTTTTAGCATGAAATGTTTCGAAAGTACAATTTGTATTTTTAAAATGCATTTGTAAATAAAATAGGAGACT